TGTACATCCTCTGGTCCAGCCAGACTTGTAAGGTAGAATTGGGATCATGATAGTGGGGGGAGGAAGCATTCAAGAGCGAGAGGAAAGTTGACTCATCTTTCTCTCACATGAGCTATTTGAATCCCCCTCCTCTGTGCCTTCTTAGCTTGGCCACGAGTCTCAGTATTTGCAATTATCCTCCACTTTTTGATGGGCGGTGTGATGTAATTATCCCACGGGTTATAAATCCTAACCCCTGGGATGTCAATGAGGCAGTTAGTTAATGAAGCAGTCCAGGGGAATATGCGGGATCTTGACTCACTCTCTTTTGAGATATAAAAGAGTTTAAACAAGCACACAAAGATCAGGGGGACCACAGTGCCACTAAGAGAGAAGACCCAGTGGGAAAGGTGTCCCTTGGACCCAAGGTCACGCACTGAGAACTTCCTAGTCCCAGGGAATGGTGGTGACAAAAACCTTCCCCCAGAGCCAACAGAGAAAGAAAGCCTTTCCCTAGAGCAAATGTCCTGAGCCCTGGGAGCCTACTGGGCTAAGCTGGCCTGCCCACAGCACGGTTGGCAGTTTCGAACCCACTAGCCAATTTGAGGGAGAAAGATGAGATTTTCTGTTCCTGCAAAAGACAGCCTCAGAAACCCCACAGGGACAGTGCTACTCTGTCCTATTGGGTCACCGTGAGTCAGAAGCAACCGGTGACCCTGAGTGGTATGCATGACTCGCCTAAACCATGAGAGTAGAAACGTGTTTCTTCAAGCCACCCCCTTTGATGCGTGCGTTTGCAGCGGCCTGGACACGAGGCCAGCCACAAGCTGACAGGGGGTCTGGACTCAGAAGGACAGCCAGAAAGAGAGAGCTGTTTCTTTAGTTCTGCCTCTCTGGTGGCTCTCTGGACCACACAGACAACAGTGGGGAGAAAGGCAAAGCCATTTCGTTCCTGGCTCTTCTCTAAGAAAGTTTGCCTCCAACGATCAGCCTGAACGAATACATGGAACCATGCCACAAACCGACAGTCACTGTCATTGCTGCTCCTGCACTGTGGAGACGCAAGGTGTCTTCTCAGCTGCACATAAAAAGAGCAGATAGATGCCTCTTTTACCAAACAGTGGGGAGCCTTGACACCCTAAGGTAACACACTGCTGATTTGGCTTCCAAGTGGCCTGATGCCCGTGTGCGGGAGCTGCTGTCAGGGCAGGAATGTTTGACAGGATGAAAGAGCCGGCTCCCTTTCAGAGTGCTATCAAGAGCACCTCATCGGTGTCTTACACAGCCCTCTGCCCCCATCTCCTCAAGACAGGGGCCCCCATCTCTGCACGTGCCCACCACCTTCTGCAGGATTCTGCGCCAAAGCTCCTTGGCCCTTGGGTTGCCCAGGACAAGGAGGGCAGAGTGAAGAGAGGGGGAGGCGGCCATGAGGGTCTCGAAGAAGAGGACAGAGGTGAGACTTGGAGATGGGTGCTTGGAAGTGATGGAGAAGGGGCTGGCCAGGATATATACTATGTGGAGAACCAGGAAGCAGCCCAGGGACTTCAAGAGACACAGTGAGAGAGAATGGCAGATGGACGTTGATCCACACGGTGTCCCGTGGAAAAGCACATCAAGTGCTTTTGATATTTGATTCTGATCCCTTGGAGCTGGGCCAACACGGACGTGATCACACAGATCTGAAAAGAAGGAGGAGGAAGGGAGTGCAAAGGAGGGGGGACTTCAAGAAGGGAGGAAGGGTCCAGGCCAGCTCTTCAGGAGGGTAGCACAGTGTTCAGGACAAGGCACTGAGCCAGAAACAGGGTGCCTGGTCTGGTCCCAGCATAGCCACCACTCTCAGTGACATGCCAGGCCAGCCTGGCCCTCTTAAACTCAGTTACTTTGTCTGTCATAGAAAGACAAGTCTTTGCAGCTGGCCAGTTGTTGTTGGTTGCTGTTAGGTGCCATCGAGTCAGCTCCTACCCATAGTGACCCTGTGCCCAACAGAACAAACCACTGCCTGGTCCTGCCCTGCCTCAAACTCACAAGTGTCCCTGTGCCTGAGCCCTTGGATGCAGCCACTGTGTCCATCCAGCTCATCGAGCGAGGGCCCTCCTCATTTGCGCCGCCCCTCCACTTGACCAAACATGATGTCCTTCCCCAGGGACTGGTCTCTCCTGACAAGATGCCCAAAGTATATAAGATGAAGTCTCGCCATCCTTGCCTCTAAGGAGCACGCTGGCCTCACTTCTTCCAACACAGATGGGTTTGTCCTTTCAGCACGCCATGGTACTTTCAATAGTCTTCTCCTGCACCACAAGTTCAAATGCATCTTTCTTCTACGGCCCTCTTTATTCAATGTCCAACTTTTACCCGAACGGGACATAATGGAGAAGACCACAGCATGGGTCAGACGCAGCTTAGTCCTCCAAGTCACATCCTCGCTCTTCAATTCTCTAAAGAGGTCTTGGGCAGCAGATTGACCCAGTGCGTCAGGGCTTTTGATCTCTTGACTGCTGCTTCCAGGAGCACAGATTGTGGGTCCAAGTAGAACAAGATCCTCAAAAACGTCAACCTTTTCTTCACTTATCCTGATGGAACCTCTTGGTCCAGGTGAGCATTTTGGTCTTCCTTCCATTGAGTCGTGATCCAGACTGAAGGCTGCGATCGTGGATCTTCACTTGTTTATCATGTTCCGGGCAGTCTCTGAGCACTGGGGACAAAGGAGAAAACAAAAACAGCCAGTCCCTGCATCCGTGAGTTGACACAGTGTCCCTCCAGCTCAGTCTTGGAGAGGTCAGAGGGGAAGGGCATGTGGATAACTGACCACAGCAGATAGGGCTTGACCACATCAAGGAGCAGTATTTTCCCAGCTACTGTCTGAGAGCAAACATCAGCGCCATCAGTCCCACC